TAGCAAGGTCAAAATGGTAGAATTTATTTTAAATAATTATAAGGAAATTATTAAAGTTATGCAATCTTCTTGTGCCTCTATAATAAAAAAGTTTAAATTTTTAGTTTTTGTTGGAAAGTATAGACTAGATTAAAGCTTTCCTTTATTGTTATACTACATGGCAATCAGGGTAATTAGCTGGCAACAATAACATCGATTTGGAAATAAAATTTGAAAGTGAATCATATTGGGAATATTTTTTTAAAAGAGTGTTATTTTGGCAAAAAACTCAATTTTACCATCTCGACCAACTTAAGGGACACTAATTTTTAAAGTTGTGGCTCAAATTGTAGATATTTTAATTTTAAATTGTGGCTCACAATTTTAATTTTAAAGATATGGCTCAATTATTTAATTTTAAATTGTGACTCAAGTTGTAGATATTTACGAAGTCAACTTATAGAATATACCAAGTTGAATTTCCCATATCGTTGGTTATTCTTAATAAAAAAAAGGTAATTTTTGGTAACTTTTGGTAACTTTTTTTTTGGTAACTTTTGTTTCCGTTTCCGTTTCCGTTTCTATTTCCCTGAGGAAAAACACATGATCTAAACCAAAAAAAAAAAAATACTTTCTTTGGATTTCTTTTACGAAGTCAACTTATAGAATATACCAAGTTGAATTTCCCATATCGTTGGTTATTCTTAATTAAAAAAAGGTAATTTTTGGTAACTTTTTTTTTGGTAACTTTTGTTTCCGTTTCCGTTTCCGTTTCCATTTCCCAGAGGAAAAACCCATGATCTAAACCAAAAAAATTAAAATACTTTCTTTGGATTTCTTTTTCATTTCCCTAGCACTTTCCACTGACAACCAAACAAGAGAATGAATTAAGGTTTTCAAGGAATTCATTTTCGATTTCCTTTCTTTCTTTCCGTAGTGCTTTCCTGGAACCAAGCATGGCCTAAATGATTTGCAAAATATTTCCTACCAATAGAAAACTAAAATGATAATCAATTGCTGCAATTTAATTAAGGTGATCTAAATTTTAGGCATAAGTTACGGTGACATTAGGATATTTATTCCAACATAAGAATTAATGATTACTCAAATGAGTCCATTCTATTATTATTAAGGAATAATTTCAGAAACCTCCCCTGAGGTTTCTGACATTTACACTCACCTCCCCTGTGGTTTGAACAATTACACTAATCTTCCCTGAGGTTACTAATCCTTTACAAATTCAATCCAAATGATTAAAATATTGTTTTAGAGAGTGAAATTAGAATTTTGTACCTGATTTGCCCTTTGTGCTACATATCCAATGAATGACAAAGTATTACAAATTAATTAATAATTAATAAACTTTAAGGAGCGTAGTTTATAGGCAAATACGTATTACTTATTTAAAGTACCAGCTCTTTACGGGTATTTTACTTTCAAACATTTATTTTATTACAAATATTTATTCTCAAATACAGATTTTGTAAGGATCGAAGACAACCTAATATTCTAGCAAAAAGAAAATAGGTTATCTATTTAATATAAATTAAATATTTTTTTAAAAAAGAAATGGCCCATAAAGTATTAATTTTTTATGGTTTTCATCCATTACATGAGTAAAGTATTAGCTCTTTATGAGTATTTTATCCTGAATCATTTAATTTATGCTAAATACATAAATATTTATAACTAAAATTGAAAAAGTGTTATATTAATATTTCTACGGAAGAAAAACTGGTAGGTTTTTTATTTAACAAAAATTAAATATTTGAGAGTAAATACAAATCTGTTTATTTCAATTCATATCTTTTGATGATTACAAAACAAATGGATGTTACTAATACTTTTTGTAGAGATCCTTTTCAGAAATGACACCAAACAGGTATATGGATTTAAAGCAGAAAAAGAAGATCAAAAAGGATGAAGGGTGCTGAGGATGATGTCGGACGCATAAAAGGAAAGTATCGGACGTCCGACATCCTTTGAGTATCTTCGGACGTGTGAAGAACTCAGACTCGGACGTCCGAAGAAGACAAGCCAGGGCTTCTATGATTACTGATCATGATCGGACGCTCAACACCTGAGTATCGGACGTCCGACAAGTGTTGCTGTTCTTCGGACACAACACTCTGGACGCATCGGCCGTCCGAAGGAATTGAAGAAGAAAGTTCAAGTATGCATCCTGCCCTCGGACGCATGATCGGACGTCCTAAGGGATTCAAGAAAACTTCCAGAACTCATTGATCTCGTTCAAACGCATAAAAACTAAACATCGGACGTCCGACAGCACCAACGGCTAGTTGACTCTTCAGTTGCCTTCTACCCGTTGACAGCATTAATTGAAGAACTTTCTGGTATCCTATAAAAAGAATAAAGTCAACCACCTCAGAATAACTTTGTACATCAAGTCTACATCAGATAGTGAGTGATTCAAGTGTTAGAATACTCAAAAAGAACTCGTGTACTCTTAGCTTGTGCAATCTTCTTGTAGTTTTTCAAGTGTGACACAGCTTCTTCAATAGTGTAGATCAGTGAGGGTTATTCGAGTGCTTGTAAAACTTCCTTGCTTGACCAAGTGTGGTTTGGGGTAAGAAGGAAGTGATCCCTCCCTTATACACAAGATATTGGTTGCAAGTGTGTTCAACTTGAAGTAACTTGGTATATAAAAGTGTTGTTCAAATCTCAGTTGTGTTTGAACCCTGGTTTGTTTTTTCTACTTTCATTTACTGCTTTTATACATAAACTGTTCTCCTCTTCATCTTACGAATACCTGTGTTCTCTTGTTACCTGGTCCATTGGGTGGTCCTTGAGAAAAGAAAGGTAGACTGTGAAAAAAGGTGGCCTATATCTTAGCTGGTTTTTGAAAACCTAATTCACCCCCCCTCTTAGGTTGTCTTCGATCCTTACAAAATCTGTATTTGAGAATAAATATTTGTAATAAAGTAAATGTTTGAAAGTAAAATACCCGTAAAGAGCTGGTACTTTAAATAAGTAATACGTATTTGCCTATAAACTACGCTCCTTAAAGTTTATTAATTATTAATTAATTTGTAATATTTTGTCATTCATTGAACATGTAGCACAAAGGGCAAATCAGGTACAAAATTCTAATTTCACTCTCTAAAACAATATTTTAATCATTTGTACTGAATTTGTAAAGGATTAGTAACTTCAGGGGAGATTAGTGTAATTGTTCAAACCACAGGGGGTGAGTGTAAATGTCATAAACCTCAGGGGAGGTTTCTGAAATTATCCCTATTATTAATTTACAAATATGCCAAAATATAAAGATTGACATTTTTTATGACCATGTGCACATGAATATTGAGTAAACAAATTAGGTGGGTACTAATTTTCTCCTTTTTTTTAATGCAAAATATTTCCTACCAATAGAAAATTAAAATGATAATCAATTGCTGCAATTTAATTAAGGTGATCTAAATTTTAGGCATAAGTTACGGTGACATTAGGATATTTATTCCATCATAAGAATTAATGATTACTCAAATGAGTCCATTCTATTATTATTAATTTACAAATATGCCAAAATATAAAGATTGACATTTTTTTATGACCATGTGCACATGAATATTGAGTAAACAAATTAGGTGGGTACTAATTTTTTTCTTTTTTTTTTTGATGCAAAATATTTCCTACCAATAGAAAATTAGAATGATAATCAATTGCTGCAATTTAATTAAGGTGATCTAAATTTTAGGCATAAGTTACGGTGATGTTAGGATATTTATTCCAACATAAGAATTAATGATTACTCAAATGAGTCCATTCTATTATTATTAATTTACAAATATGCCAAAATATAAAGATTGACATTTTTTTATGACCATGTGCACATAAATATTGAGTAAACAAATTGGGTGGTGTACTAATATTTTTCTTTTTTTTTTTAACCATATAATGAACTATCAAAGGTGTTACAATTCGATATGAGTGCATATATGAAGAAAAAAAAGTTTGGGAAACATAATAAGACCAATCAATTGCTAGAATTGCATTAATTTATACTCGTGATTGCATAATTTACATCACAATATGAAACATAATAGTTTGGGAAAGGAGATTGGTCCAGTGGTTTATTAAATCACTTAAAACGGTCTCCTCATCCTTCATGCCATGATTCTGACGAGTTGGCTAGCACGGGCAAACTATGACTCTGCTTGGTGATGTGATTTTTTACTGCCTGCCGACCCCAAATTAATAGGCTTCCCCTTTTATTTTATTTTTTTAAGAGGCAAAAAGATAGATCCGCTTATAATTAAACAAATAATTCAATTTATATTTATTTTTAGTTCTAAAAATGCAAGATTTGATCCTAACCATATTTATTTATTTTTCTAAAAATGTAAATTTGACTTAATCTATATCTATTTTTGCATCTAAAAAAAGTGGGATCTAATCGTTTTATACATAAATATGATCACATGTGAATTTCGTAATGATTTCAAGTTAAAAAATAATCACAAATTTAAGTTGAAATCAAATTTTACTAATTTAAATTTGCAATGGCCATAAAGTTAACATTAATTTTAATTTATAATGGACATAAAGTTAATATTTAATAATAAAAGATGAAAAAATTAATTTAACAAAATATGAGAAATATTTTAAGCAATTTTCTCTTAAGTACTAGATACCCTCCTTGAAGTAATCAAATTGCGCCAACTATACTACTACATATGATAGATTGTAGGACTTGCGTGTAGTAAATAAATAGTTCAAGAAAGGCACATTTTGAGATTCGAGCAGCAATGATAAAAAAAAAAAAAAAAATCCCAATTTCCAACTTCACGCATCAATATAATCAGTATTCCTCCTTCATCCTCAACCATTCACTTCTTAACCCTCATATCATCCCATCACTCTCAACTCAAGATAAACATGCTTAATCATCTGCCCCGTGTCAATTCAGGACACAATCGATTTTCCTTTCAGTACACCATCACGTAGCCAATTTTTCCTCTCCCCAAAAATCTCCCGGAAGAAAGAAGAAGATACAATATGCTTTTGCCATTAAGCACTTGTCGCTGGTCCTAAGTAACCGTTTGTTCTCTCCCTCTCAACTTTCACACACACACGCAATTCCACAACACCATTTTCACACCATGACCGTGTGAAGAAGTTTTGGACCAAATTTGAAGGAAGAAGTAATCAATGGAAGCCAAGTTGGCATCAAGCTTTCTAGGCCAAAGATGGTGGTGCTATGGAGGAGGAGGGCTCGACTACTGTAAGCAGGGGAATGTGCGGTTCTGCCCTTCAGTTTCTCATCGTTTCGTCCCAGCTTCTTGCAAAATGCGCCAGCGGAATCACAGGTACTTGGACTTTATTGTTGTTTCATTTTTTTGGAACCTTCTTCGGTGCCCAGTATTCATTTCTTATTTCTACTTGAATAATCCCACATGGGTTGCCAATTTTTTGCATTGATAACTTGAATTTGTTGAACAAGATTGAAACTTAGATTCTGGATAATCTGGGGCATTTTTTTTCATGTCCTGTTTTTATGGGATTTTCTTGATTTTCTTTGGTTACGTTATTTGTATTGCCTTGAGAGGTGTAAAGCAGCCAATTGGTGATGAAACTAGAGAAAATTTGAGAACGAATAAGAGGTTTTTTTTTTTAATGATTAAATTGTAGGTCTGTTGCCTATGTAGACTAGACAATGTTGTTGGGAGTGTGAATTTTGGAATTTAATTTGGTTAAGTAATATGATACAATTGGACTCTGTAATGCTATTTATTTTTGTGATTGAAGAAATAGGATAGGATAGGAGCACACAAGTTTCTTGAGAAGTCGGCATATGGCTTTCTATGGTATCACTCGAGCTCATTGATATTGATTTTGGGGCCTTTTTTGATGTGATGTTAAATCTCTTATCTCCCATCTTTATACTGGTTTCAATAAAGTAGTAAACATAACTCAAATACTTGTCCTATTTTAGGATTAGGATGTTACACCATTGTCCCTCACATCTATGTGACGTCCTAGCCAGATAATATAACCTGTCCTGTCTCTCAGACCTGGAAATGTGTTTGTTTCCTCCATTTTTTTTTTACCTTGGGTAAAATGTCACTACTAATACTTGCAATGATCTGTAGATCGTGATAAGGGGACTCTGGTGGCATATGCAATATAATTTTAGGCTCATTTTGCAGCCTATTTATTATGAATGACTGCTTAACTGTCAGAACTGAAATGTTCAAGCTATTGTTTGATTCTAAAACCTAGGAGGGTAGACCAACAAGCCTTGGTACTGTTACATAAATGTTGAGGTTTTCAAATCATTCGTGAAAGTTCTCTATTCTTTCTATGACATCAATTATCTGAGTTTTCATCCGTTTGCACTTCTGCTATTTGCAAAGCTAACATTGCCTTCTCTTTTCTATTCCGTTTTCATGTATTTCTGATTTCATTAAGTAGTAGGCCTTGAAATATGTACAGTTCCCAAAATAAAAGACAGCAAGCGAAGAAGTTATATCCTGATCGTCCCACAGGTGTGAATTTCCCTGCAACCAGTGACGAAGATTCTGATATGGAAAACTTCTCCAATGATGGCATCACAAGCTTAAAAGAGACAGCAGATGACCTTGATGCTGCTGAAAAAGCTGAGCAAACTGATAATCCCACTAGTGATGATTTGCTGGCAACCAGTGGTGAAGATTCTGACACAGAGAAGTTCTCCAAAAATGGCATCACAATCTTGAAAGATACAGCAGATGACCTTGATGCTGAGCAAACTGAAATACTTCCCAACAACAACATCACAGGTTTGAAAGGTGATGCCAATGGTATGGATTTTGCATCAGAAGCTGAGCTGTCAAATGAGAATATGAGCTTGACTCTGCTCAATGAGATTAGACCTGTGGTATGTATTCTTTTGCTGACATTAGTATGTTATCATCAATTTATTGTTAATATAGCTGATGTGGTAGCGCCTTACTTGTGATGCTCAGTTTTCAAACCAAAAAATTCACATTTTTTTAAAATCAATTCTTGGGGTGCTGAACCTTTGATATGATGCATCTGATGACTTGTTCTTGACCTCTATTAAGAAAATTCTTATTGTGCACAGATAGTAATTTTGTTCTATTAAATCAGTTGATTCTCGATTAGGATTATATTTGTCTATAATGTTATTGACTTGCTTTTGTATTTATTCTTCCATACGAGAGGATGGATAATTTATTAAGAATATAATGAACTCATGTTCTATCGAAAACAGTCAATTGCTGCTAATGGTGAGGATGAGCTTTCAAATGTTCATCTTTCAGGTTTAATTGGGATGATTAGAAATGCTGAAAAAAGTAAGCACTTTTCTTTCCTTAAAGCAATACTTGCACAGTTTTTGGCTTATGTAATGTCTGAAGAAGTTTAATTTCAGTTTCCTTTTGAGATAGATATCCATCTACTCAACCATGCTCGGATTACCGCTCTTGAAGATCTTGAAAAAATTCGTAGTGAGAAAGAGGCTTTACAGGGGAAGATGAATGTTTTGGAGATGAAACTTGCAGAAACTGATGAGAAGCTCAGAGTTGCTGCACAACAAAAGATGCATGTGGAACTCCTTGAAGATCAGTTGGAACAATTACGAAATGAGTTGCTTGCTAGGGGTGATAATGAAGGCAGTATGCATGACAAGCATGTCTCCCTGCCTTTTTCTCTCAGTGAGGAGCTTGATGTACTGAGAACTGAGAACTTGTCCCTAAAGAATGATCTTCAAGCACTAAAAGCAGATCTTGGAGATATTAAGGGAACAGATGAACGTGTTCAGATGTTAGAGAGAGAAAAATCGTTTTTGGAGTCTTCATTGAAAGGGTTGGATAATAAACTTGCTGCATCTCAGGAAGACGTTTCAAAATTATCTATGTTGAAGTTTGAATGCAAAAATTTGTATGAAAAGGTAGAGCACTTGCAAACATTACTTGATAAGGCAGCCAAACAGGCAGACCAAGCTATTTTTGTCCTGCAAGAAAACCAAGAACTACGAAAGAAGGTTGACAAGCTTGAAGAATCTGTTGAAGAGGCTAATGTCTACAAGCTATCATCAGAGAGATTACAACATTATAATGATCTAATGCAGCAAAAACTAAGAATTCTTGATGAACGGCTTCAAAAGTCTGATGAAGAGATTCATGGTTATGTTCAGTTGTATCAAGATTCTGTAAAAGAATTTCAGGATACACTCAGTAATCTAAAAGAAGAAAGCAAAAGAAGAGCAGAGGATGAACCTGTCAATGATATGCCTTGGGAATTCTGGAGTCAGTTATTGCTTATGATTGATGCTTGGTTGCTTGAAAAGAAGATATCAACTGATGATGCCGGGCTCTTGAGAGAAATGGTATGGAAGAGAGATGGACATATTTGCAATGCATACATGTCATGCAAGGAAAAGAAACAACATGAAATAATCTCTACGTTTCTACGGCTAATTTCATCCCCTAAAAGGTATAATCCTTTTGCATCTTTTATTCTAGTTTGTGTATTTTGCTCGTGTTCTTGTAATGCTACAGTGTTCATGCTTGCTTGTCTCTAACATTCACTGGTTGTCAATGTTTAGTTCAGAGTTGCATGTCATTCACATTGCAGCTGAGATAGCACCTGTTGCAAAGGTATAACATTTTATTTCCTTTTCAGAATTATAAACAGTCTAACTTTTGATTCTGTGGATAGAAAATTTCCTTCTTAAATGTGAGAATCATTCTCCTGGTCATATATAGGGTTGAAAACAAGTCTCAACGAGTGAGACAGAGGTATGTTCAGGATTGGTTTGAAAATTAAAAGGAATGTTTGAACTTGACTTGCATTTGAAAATTTTTTGAAAGAAACTGATCGAGCTTGGCTTGAAATTTCAAGCGTATGTTCATGGAAAACTTGGCTTGGCTTGGCTTGTTAAAGTATTGAGTTCAAGTACATACAATCAAAGTTTGGCTTGATTTGAAATTTCATGTTGTATTATATGGAGATTTGACTCTTATATTTCTTTTTTCTCTTAATTTTTGCTTTCTGATTTTCAAGAAATCTGTTAGATGAATTAGGGATGTGATTAAAATCAATTATGTCTATTCAAGAGACGAGTATTATGTGCTTCTATTTAGAAGATAAGCAATATACACAAAGGAAAAAAGCGGAGTTAAGAAAGGAAACTATGGGTATATTTTTATGAAATTTACTTGTTTCATATGTTCCTGAATACATTGACTCAGACAACATGCAGATCATGACTGGTTCATTAATATTTTCGAGTTTGAAATCATGTTCGGGCTTGGATTGATACCTAAACAAACAAGTTTGAACGAGCCTGGTTTGAGTCAAATTCAAGCTGAGTACCGAGTTGTTTGGTTTGATTTACAACCCCAGTCGTAAAGCACCATCAAACTAATGTTTTCCCTCTTACTTTCTAGCCAGCCTTTTTTGTGTGGTTGAGTGTTTTTTTTTTTTTTGGGTTGTGACGTTATCTCAATCAGAGCTATCAAAGGGTAAGTTGGGTCAATTCTCAATGGGTTGATATAGGAGCAATCAGGAGGATCGTTTGATGCTGAGACTTTTTAGTTAGTCTACATGGTTCTCTGTTGACATCTACTCAACATCTTTCTTTTAAATAAATGAATGGTATTTAGGATACTTCTAGGTTGCTGAAAAGAAATTATGCCTACATGGAGAATTTTCTATGAGCTTTTAGGTCTTGCTTAAGCAAAACATCTCATGCCGGAATAATATGGCAGGTGTTAGGAGTTTTTTGGATGCTCTAGAGTGTGGTAGTTATTCAGTTGAATTTTTTTTTGCCAAATATGACTTTTTTGAAGTGGTTCTTATGCCTTCTTGTTTCGATTGTTATGCTCGCATTGAACCCCTCGTTTCATACGCAGGAATGCTCAGAATGGAAAGGTTTTTTCACCTAGAACACATTTACACCCAGAATTGCAAGGGAAAAATTTTATCATTAGACAAGTCAAAATGGAATGTTTACTCAGTTTTCGATATTTGGTATAATCAATATTCAGATGTTAGAATGAAATATAGTAAATGCCAAATTGACTTAATTGCCCTGGATTAGTTTATAGGACGTAACATGCCTTATTACTTCTTTTATTTGTTCCATAATAGTTGTTCCAAAAAATTCTTGCACAGTTGTTCAAAAGTCAAAGAATAAAGTATTTTAAAACATTTGTTTCCTAGTATAAAAGAAAAAAAATTATTTTAAATGCAAGAAAAATTAATTATTATGAAAAATTACATTCAAAAATGAATGGACCTACAAGTTAGAAAGAGGCTAAGATATCATGGTCTAGTGTAAAAATTTATAAGGATAAATTTGACGTCCTACCATTTACGCATTCTAGGATGAAGGTGGAAAGGGCTTTTGCCAAATTTTTTTTAAGGAATGGGATTCTAGGAAAATGTTGGAATGAACATTTCAGTGGGAAAGGGCTTTCCCACTTAAATGAACCATACTAAATGCTGAAATGGAATGGACAAGTTGGAAAAGCCTTTTCTTTCCAGGCCATTCCTACGTATCAAACAAGGGGTGAATTTCTTTAGGCTTTCCCACTTAAATGAACCATACTAAACGCTGAAATAGAATGGACAAGTTGGAAAGGCCTTTTCTTTCCAGGCCATTCCTACGTATCAAACAAGGGGTGAATTTCTTTAGATGATGATGGTTGATGAAAGGCATCTATTTCTACTCGTTAGTGTTTTATTTTCTTCTGATCTCATCGGTTTATGTTGAAGAAGGATCTTAGGCTGTTCTTTTTCTGCTTTTGTCAGAAACCCTTGACCGCAGCTTCATTGGTTTTCAAGTAGATTATTGTCTTGCATTACATTTCTCTGACATTGTAATTAAAGTGTTTAAATAGAGTGTCATTCTGTTATGTGTTACTGGTTTCCCTGGTCTGATTTTTGGATGATGCTTAAATTCATGTTTGGTCATATCTTTATTTGTGGTTATTGGTTTGTCAAGTCTGTTGGCTTCTTTAAAGCTGCACAATAGAAAGTTTCTGTGATAAATGTGTAGATAGGGGCTTTCAAGATTACCAAATATCAATGGATTGCTTGACTTTCTAGCTGTTTATAGGGTAAGTTTTGATGCCCTTTAGGTTATCCCAGTGTTATAGTGTTATTATTGTGTTTGCTAGGTTTGAATGGTATTTTTGTCATTTCAAAAATGCTTGACTGTTACTGCTAAGGACATGCTTTCTAAATTTAAGTTGTCAAGTCCAACTAGAATTGCCAAATCCTAGGCCTAAACAGCTGCAGACACGTAGCAATTTTTACGAGTTCGAGTTGAACTTGGTTTCCTAGATCAGTTGCATTCAGCATATGTAATTGTTGAGTTCCAGTAGGTGTAAAGTATAATGAGTAACTAAGAATGCTTGGGCTCCATGTGCTGTTTTCTACGGAAGGAATTGATCTAATCTAACGGAAAAAATTGATGTATGCTTAGTTGAATTAATGAAAATATGTCACATTTGGGGCACACAAACAGTGTAAGCTGCGCCATTGCACGCGTCTTGTGGGGTAATCCATGTTCTCAGAGGCAGCTGAGCAAATTGGGTCATGCCCATCCATTAGCAAAAATAACAATAATAAAAACTAAATAAATAAAAGTTTTATTGCCTTTCTTGAAGAATTGAAGCAGACAAACTGTTTTGTTTGGTCAATCTATAAGAAAATGTGGTTGGGATTCCTAGAATTTCTACTGTTCTTTCCACTCTTCTTATTCTTTCACCCCTTCTTTTAAATTCCATATCTTTCCCTTTGTTTCCTCAGATTCATAAATTTTCTTAGGCTGGGAATGCTAATATCAATATTATCCGCTTGTTGCATTTTTTTGCACTGTATCACTATGCAGGACAAATTCTGTTAGCATAGTTTAAAGTTCAAATAGGTTACAATTCTTGTAACCCTAGATGTGTCCAAATCCTGACGTTTGGCTTTTTGTTCTATTTTGATTATATATGAAGTTCAAACTTCATAATTTCCTTCCTTTAGAACTACAGTGTATGATAGATCAGCTTGCTGTTCAGGGGAAAACCCTAAATTTTAGTAATGAACAAAGGTGTTTTGATGGAGTAGCTCCGTATTTAGGGTTATCTCTGGTATTTTCTTTAAACTGATATCGTCAAGCATTAATTGTGTGTTGTACGCTTTCTTTGCACTTCAGTCTGCCTGTTCAAGAAAAGACTATTCACTTAAAATCCACTGAATGTGTCAAAGCTTGGTGGGGTAAAATAAACAAGTATACCTCTATGATTGCCTTTGTTTCGATTTTGAATGAGCTATTAAGATGCCAAGGACACCTAAGAAGCCAGAAAGAATGTCTTACTTGGAGGCTAGACCCCCCCCCTCTCTCTCTCCCTCAACCCGTCTTGTATAGAGAAATAATAAATTGCTAAAATTTTGCCATCAAAGGCACAGAGCATCTTCCAAAAGTTGATTGATCTTTGTTGAATCTGATAAGGTTGTTGGCTAATAGTGTTGGCCTTTTGAAACCTACGCTGATGTTACATATTATTAGAAAGTACTTCCTTTTTAATGCGAATAACAAATGAGCCCAATATTTCTTCTCCTCCTAGATTGGCAAATTTTATGTTTCTCACTGCTATAATAAAGTAAAAAATCTTCTTATGTTTCATATATATTATTCATTTTGCTTCTGTGCACCATCTTCTTTTCTGCTTGTAATATGATATATGAGAGCTAATATCTATGAGTTTTTTATTGATGAAATGCTCCATTAGGTAGAAATAACTCCAGACTATTAGAATATCTCTGGCCATCTGACACTTGATAATCATTGTATTTTATTAATTAATATTATTATTATGATGATGATGATGATGATGATGATGATGATGTTGGTGGGGGAAAGTAACAATTTTGCATATTCCTCCTTCAAGAACATCTAGTTTTCTGATTTACAATCTCTGCTCGTGGTTTTGATAAGAACATGTAGTTTGTAAGGACTCTTATTGTATTGAGAACTTAACATTTAGTATTTGAACTTTCTGCATAGGGATCTTATACAAAATTTCATGCATTTTTGCATTTATCCTTGAGGAATTGATATTGCTAGGGGAGTTTTTATCAATACTGCTGCACCATCTTCTGAATTACTTTCATTTTGATGAAATTTACGTGATATAACTATCCCTGTCTATATGAAGGTTGGTGGTCTTGGTGATGTGGTGACTGGGCTCGGTAAAGCTTTACAAAGGAGAGGGCATCTTGTGGAGATTATTCTTCCTAAATATGATTGCATGCAGTATGAGCTTATTCGTGATTTAAGAGTAAGTTCATTGCTTGGACTTGATTCTTGTTTTGTGGTCTTGCTTATGGAGGATTCTGCAGGAAGATAATTCTTAATATGGTGAATTTCATTACAAATATATGGCTTATTCTTTACAGGCTTTAGATGCAGTGGTTGAGTCATACTTTGATGGTCGGCTACACAAAAACAAGATCTGGACTGGCACCGTTGAAGGTTAAGAATGTTTACTTACTCCTTAAGGAAATGTTTTAGTGCTTTATTGTATTAATACAGCAGTTCACTTTGATTGCAAAATCTCAGGTCTTCCTGTCTATTTTATTGAGCCTCATCATCCAGGAAATTTCTTCTGGAGAGGACAATTTTATGGTGAACATGATGATTTTAAGCGGTTCTCATTCTTCAGTAGGGCAGCACTTGAGTTACTTATTCAAGCTGGCAAGAAACCAGATATAATCCATTGCCATGATTGGCAGACAGCTTTTGTGGTATGGGAGATTTTAGTTTGATAATACAAATGTTAATTCTTTTTGTCTTGATATTATATTTCAGCTAAAAGTTTTTCATGCTTTTCAAAGGCTCCGCTATATTGGGATATTTATGCACCAAAAGGTTTGAATTCAGCTCGGCTATGTTTTACATGCCACAATTTTGAGTATCAAGGGACTGCGCCAGCTTCAGAACTAGCATCATGTGGTCTTGATGTTCACCATTTAAATAGACCAGATAGAATACAAGACAATTCCGCACATGACAGGGTCAATCCCATTAAGGTAATGTGGCTCTAGCTGGTTTTGTTTTCTTCTATTATTGACAGCTGTGTCTATTACTTGTTTGTGCTAGTTCCTTTCAGTTTGAGTCTCATGTACATGTAGTGACTTTACGTACATGTATTTTTATCACATTAAAAGCTCAGGTGTTGTTTCTCAGGGAGGAATTGTGTTCTCTAACATTGTAACAACTGTTTCACCGACCTATGCCCAAGAGGTGCGGACTGCTGAGGTATGGGTACTGCTGATATTGTAAGAGATCTAATCTGTACATTTTTGTAAACTCAACATGGGTTTAGCTTCTGTGCAACATCTTACCATGTCTGCTTTTAAGCACTTGTTAGTGATTATTTATTGGCAGCCCTATGATCCAGGTTGTTGTCTTCACTGTGCTTTCTTTTTGGTATTTTGTTCTTATTTCTTTCCCAAAATCTTTTGTGCATTGAGTATTGAGGTGTACTTTCCACGAATATTTGGTCTTCATACTATTGAAGACGGTTGAGCATTGAGAAAGACCGAGTGCTAGACTTGAGGTACCCGCTTGCTGAATGCACTAGCTTGGATGCTGGATCAACAAATATTGATTTTATATACTATTAACAACTAGTAAATCTGTTTATGTGTAAGCAAGGGAAACGTACAACCAGCATATGACATCCTTAAGAGGCAAGCAGAATTTGTTCAATTTGGTATTCATGGTTGTTGACATTTGCAACCTGGTGAAGTAGTGTAACACATCAAAAGAACATGGTCCCAATAAAGTGGAAGTACCCCCAAGTCATTGGGTTTTGGACTGCTTTACATAAATAAACATATTTGGAAGGATATATTCCATTGAAGATTTTGAGATGAAGTTTGAGCTCCATTGATTTAGTTTATAAATATCATGATTAGTGCTGGTTACCTTTTTTAATGATTTCCATGTTTACCGAGGTTTTAGTACAGATCATCTGAGAATTGATGAATTGACTTTAGAGCTTTTGGTCCAAAACGATAGTGCTTTCCAATGCAACAGTGAGAAAATGAAGTTTTACTTCCAACCCTTGGATCAGCTGCTTATTATCTGAAGCTTTATTAGTAGAAAATTCTTTGTGTACTGCAAAGATTTTATTGCATATAGTTTTAGTAATTTTGTAACTTAAAGCAGCTACAGAGATGGAAACTTGAGCAAGATTAGAATTTGCTTTTGGGGAGAATTTTGTATATGTAAGTGCATGTCTGTTTGATATCAGGCAAAAATAGCTATGACTTATCATTCTGAGGGTCTTGGAGAGCATGAGATGACGAGAAAGGAATAGAAGGGACAAATTTTATTAAAAAAGGGTTATGGAGCCAGAATGACTGCGAAGAACCTCTAGTGCAGTTAGATGCATTTGCTTTAATCTTAACTGTGGAAGCTTCAGAATCAACTTAAAGCTGTTTATATATAGTATCTTTTATCCACTTTTTGGTTCCATGTGGCTATAATTAGAGTGATTCTTGTTTAAAAGCTCTTGTTGTTTTGTTAGCATAGTGGCTTCTGTAGTGGAACTTACCTCTACAACAGTTTGTACACTACGGGTCCAATTGAAACTCTCTTTCAAAATAAAGTTCAGTAATGGGTTTTGGCTAGGGATAAAATGAAAGCTTAGGAAAAGGTATTTGAGTTGCTTGTCTGGCACTCCTGTAGCACTAACTAAGAAGCTTTTGTCATGTTGTCGTCATGGGAATCACCAATAGTTTCCTAGGTCTGGCATTTTTTCGGATAAAGAGACTAATAACATTCATGTATTCAAGAAACGAACTTTTCTTCAACTGGATGGCTTTCTGTTGGGACTCAGGTCTTTTATTTTACACCAATCTTATTCATACAGTTCAAGTTCATATGGATTTTGAGTCCATCTTAATTAAATCAGCTATATAAAGTTAATAATCATGCACAACAGCATATATGGTGTTTCCTATTATTTCTCATTTTATTAGAGATATTTTTGGGTGTTTCATTCAGGGAGGACGAGGCCTTCATGCTACACTGAACTCTCATGCTAAAAAATTTGTGGGAATTCTCAATGGAATAGATACTGATGCATGGAATCCTGCTCGTGACACTTTTCTCAAAGTACAGTACAGTGCCTTTGATACTCAAGGGAAAACTGAAAATAAAGAAGCTTTAAGAAGAAAGCTAGGTCTTTCTTCTGCCAATATTGGACAGCCTTTGGTAATTATTATAAGCTTTTTCTCCTTTCAGTAAAAATAGCACATGTTGATGAACATGATATAATACATAAATCATGCATCATTGATTATGAGACCATAACTTTTGATGGGGGTGTGATTTTGTTAGCATGGCATAAATTAAGAGTATATGTATGTATGAGCTTATACCAGAAAGACATTTCAGCATTGAGATGTATTATGTACCATCTATTGTTTTTTCAATTTTTATTTTATTTTATTATTTATTTTTTTTTGTGTCAAAGTTGAGAGTTTGTTTTGTGTACTTGTTGATTTCTTACTAAATTAATCATCATCTGTGGCAAAAGATAGTTTTGCATTAAATTGTGCGTGCATATTTGCATAAGTAGCAAATTATGAACATAGCTTAAGGGAATTTTGTCAATGAGCATGAATGGGCCATGAATATGATCATCAAATCGGTCATAGAATGATAGAAAACATAATAATTTGTCGGGTGGTGGACGGGATAGGGTTGTTTTTGAACAACTCTCACTTGCACAGCACACCTATTGCCAGCCCCTAGATTTTATGACGTACACTGTGTTGTCTAATATTTATTGGGTTATTTCATGTCCAGTCCGTTTGATATTGTCCAACCATCTTAACATATTAATTATTATTTTAATGATCAGCATCAAACTAGGTAAAAAGTCTTTTAAACAATTGAGTAATGGTACAATGTGCTCTTGGGCAGCATGGTTTTTTCCTTTGCCTTGAACATTCAGAAGGAATTATTTTTGAGTATATTTGATTGTTATCCTCTGTAAGGGATTCTTTGATGTAAGTTGTGCTACTGAATCTCAATTGGTGTTGACTTCTGAAATTTGTTTTCTGTTCTTTCTACCCCTAGTTGCCAAACAAACAAACAAACAAACAAATACACACATGCACCCAAAAAAAAAAAGAAAAAAGAAAAAAGAATGGACAGAAGATGAACAACATGAGGACAGTAAAATACTACACACAACATTTTTGGGAAAGTAATCTTGTACTTTATGATGAAAAATTTTTGGTTGCAAGGAAGATTACCCGTTTGAATCTCTTATGAAGATGGCAGTTCCAATATTATTGGGTTACCATAGCAGTGCAACATTTTACTCTCAGTGCTGGTAATCAGTTGTTTGCTGCATGGCATTGATGTTATGACTTTGTCGTGTTCAATGGAATAAAGGTTTTTCCATCAGCATGATGCATCTTATGTGGGTCCATGCTCCTAAATGAAGCTAATTTGCTTACTAGACCTTCCTTGTCTGTTGTTGAGCAGGTTGGATGCATCACAAGGTTGGTTCCTCAAAAAGGTGTGCATCTTATTAGGCATGCACTGTATCGAACGCTGGAACTAGGAGGCCAATTTATCCTTCTTGGATCAAGCCCTGTGTCACATATTCAGGTAATAGATTATGACTCCTGTTTCATTTATGAGCCTTTATTAACATTGAATAGATTTAAGCAAATGTTAATTGTGACCAAGCCACATCAGTTGACAAATCAAGGTTTTATATTTTCCTTGTAACTAAACGTTTAGTTTTAATTTTAGCGGTTAATTATTGCTTCTAGAATCTTTCATTGAAATTTTATATGAGGGGTAAAATAGAAAATTACTTTACATCTTTTTTACTTTTCAAATCACAAATGATATAGGCTGAGTAGAAAATAGTTACTCTGACACATAACATGGAATGGAGGGATTACTTTATCTCCAGATTAGGATTTTTCTGTCTTTTAGTTTTACTAACACAAAAGATAAATTAGATGTTATAAATAATTCGTATCTATTCTTATTGTATTAAAATCCACCTTGAACCATTAAGATATTTGTCATGGATAGTACTGGTTTGTTAAAATGCTTCAAATGGAATGATATCCTACAGATAAGATGAATGCAGGAGGGACTTAAAGTTGATCTCCAGCTAAAATAACAGATTGAAAATCTACCAAGACTATATGCAGTTATTTCCTAAACCTTTTATGTTGACTGCTTTCCTAACAAAAATTGGCAACTCATTTGCTTGTTCATAGATCTGATCTAGTTTTTTCTGAAAGCTTGCATTGGTAGAATGTCAGCTGGTAGATTCTCTTCCAGCTTACAATTTATTGGAAATCATTAGGCTATCCTTGTAAATTGTGTATGTAGTTACTCTTATCAAAAATTGACGCACAACCTACCAATGATGAATCTTGAATCTCTTAAAAATATGTTGACTTGGTATCATGCATCCATATTAGATGATTTTCTTCTTGGAGGTAAGGATATCATTTGATCTACCATGCAAGTACACTTTAGAGTCTAATTCTTCGTATAAAATTTTCCGAGATTTGTGAATCTGTTAACTATGATTTAACAGTGTACGGTAGCGTTCTCTTCACTGACCTATTCATTCAATCTTCTTCATTGAAGCATTTCCACAATTTTTGCAAAGTAATCACTGAATCGACATCCCCAAGGAAAATGAACTAGCTTCTGACCCTCTGATAACTTTAATCAATGAAGAAGAGCTTTGTTTCATACCTTATTCTTCTTTCTTATCTTCCAAATAGACCACAGTAAATAGCAGTGGCTTACAGTGCTGAAGATCTATGCATTGTATTCTAGATCTTAACTTTTTTGTAAGTCAGGTTTTTTCTTGGTTATTTTTTAAGTTTCATTTCAAGTAACAATTTTGGATGTAGGCCTGGGGTATTTGAACTCCCATGTTTATACTCTTCTCTTGTTGATTAACAATTAAGGGCTTCTAGTGTTATTATGCATGTCTTGAAATCTTGGACTTTATTCTAATTCCATGTATGGTGTCTATTTCATCCTAGAAGTGGTTACCAGAACAACCTCCTCTTTTTTCCTAATTGCAGCTCACATCAAATCGCTTTCTCCTTGATTTTCTCAGCACAAAACCTCCAAAGAGTCCCGAAAACGTTGAAATTACTTTTAACGTTCCTCGAACATCTCCTTGTTCCTCTCCATCTGGGGCTCGAATATTCCATCCAGGCCAAACTTACTCCACAAATTGTTGGCCCAAATGATATTAGAGCTTGGCTGCATCTACCACCTTTTTTCCTTCATATTTTCCTTGTACTGGTTTTAGTTCTACTCTTCAAGTGGCTAGCACAATTTGGAAGTTTTAATTGCTTGGCTCATAATTGCTCACCTAACAACGTAAGTATTGTTTATCTTAGAGTTGAAGTGTTCAATTTTATTTTTGGTAGTACTTCAACACAGTACGTAGTACAAGGCCTTAGGGATCTTTGGATTCATAAGATGCCTAGTTAATCTTTTCAATTGGAAGGTGGTGTCATTTGGAACTCTCGCACATTCTTGGCTGTGTGTGTATATTCATAACTGTCAAACACCAGAATTAGTGCACCAGGTTATGTCCTAATTTATTCAATCAATTCCTAGGTTACCTCATTATAGATAGTTAATGGATCTTCAGGTTTTTTAACATTTTGGAATATGCTCATGTTTATCTTATTTTCTGAAGTAAATTACAAGCAACAGAGTTTAGGTTATCTTTCTTCAGTAGCTCTGTTAAAGGTTTATGTTTTCATATGCTTTGCTGTCGAACTATTGTCTCTAACGTTTTCATACAGAGGGAATTTGAAGACATAGCCAACCAGTTTCAGAGTCATGAAAATGCAAGATTGTTATTGAAGTATGATGAGTCTCTAGCTCGTTTTATATATGCTGCGTCTGACATGGTTGTCATTCCCTCCATCTTTGAACCTTGTGGCCTTACACAGGTAAATTGATGTCTCAATAACACTGACAAAGATAGCTGCATTAGAAACACACTTCTCTTCTCATACTGGGTTAGAATGTGCAGATGATTGCAATGAGATATGGATCCATCCCAATTGTGAGGAAAACTGGAGGTCTAAATGACAGGTGGAGTAATCACTACATGATATTTTAACTGTGAATATTTGAATGGTCAAATAACACTTGGAGAATGCCTTGTGTTTTTGATTGCTCTTACAGTGTTTTTGATGTTGATGATGACACAATACCTGAAGAGTTCAGAAATGGATTCACATTTTTGACGGCTGATGAGCAGGTCATTCCTAATTCATGGATGTATAAACTGTCTATTCATTTTCCCCTTTAAGCACTAAATCAAAAGCTTCGAGTGTTTCTCTGCTTCGCATGTTAGATAACAAGATTATCCACAATTACATGGATTAAGTTAGCTCCACTTCTTTTGTTATGGAATTTTTATTTTCAAAGCTAGCTCCACTTGATAAAGGGTTCAGTCTCTGCAGATAAAAGTCACTTGAGGCAAAAGCTAAACCTAAAATGCTTCTGGTTTAGTTACTGATGAAGCCTTGGAAGTCTCTCTCTCTCTCTCACATAAATATACACACACACGCGACAAAGACTGACAAGTACCCAAACATGTTACACACATTTTGCTCAATCTTTCTTCTGTAAAATTGCGGATTCCCTCCAACTTGCGGACACACACACACTCACTCACTCTCTCTCTCTCTCTCTCTCAAGATGTACACATACATTAAAAAAAATCCTTTTCAAATCCTTTTCACATTCTCTCTCTCTCTCTCTCAAGATGCACACATCTATCAGTTACCAAGATAAGAAAGAAGATACGCTGTGAGAATCAAGTTCAATCAAAATACATGATAACTACCGAAGTGAAATGATGTCAAAGAAAGTCTGATTTGGATATTTACTGGTAGAAAATTAGTTCTAATTTTGTTTTTAAACCATGATATTTATGAAAAGACACTTGATTTATTGCACTAATTTCCCTTGATTTAGTAGCACCACCTGCCTTTTTGAGTTACATACTTGAAATTTAGGTTCAATATTCTGATGATCAACTTTATTTAAATTCATGACGGTGTGATTATTCTCTTCTGGCTCCTTCTTTGATGATTTTTTCGAAGACAATAAAACTCCTTTTTCTCACATTTAAGTTTTATGGTATGCTTGTCTTAACAATCTATTATTGGTAAAGTTTCTCTTAGATATTATAGACTTAAGATCAGAATTGTTATGCTACTTGCCACTGCTGTGTAGCGCCAAGGTGTTTTCTGCTTCCTTTGCGTGGTTGTTGCTTTATGTAATGCTACTTCTTGATACTTTATGTACCGAAGGACGTAGTACCTCACATTTCAACACTTATATTTATTTACATTAAAAAAGCTTCAACAGATTAATACTATACCAGATGTTTGGCACCTTTCCTCATTATACTAGATTTTTCTAGCACTTTCTTTGTTGGTGTTGCTATTCTAAGTATGAATTCTGTTTCTGAATAGAGATGCGTTATCTTTGTATTCTCAACTTGTGCTGAATTCGGGTCATCTGCAGGCATTTAACAATGCCTTGGAACGTGCCTTTTTCCACTATAAGAACAATAGTGAATTTTGGCGAAAACTTGTTCAAAAGGTTATGAGGATTGACTTTAGCTGGGACTCGTCAGCTTCTCTATACGAGGAGCTTTATGAAAAGTCTGTGGCAAGAGCTAGGGCTGCAAATCGTGCCTAATACTGGCATGAACCCTTTTCTTTTCATCTGCTGCAACTGATGTCCAGACTAGCTGTGCGCTGGTAATTTTTTGCTTGACCAGCATGCGTAATACTCAGAAGGCATACCTGACATGCCTACAATGGGAGCTGATAGAAGTACATTGGCATCCTGCCTCTGGATCACATCAGCAGTATGAGTGGGACCAGATCGAATCTAAAATTTTTTTGTTGACACAATCTTTACTCTGTAGATGAATTACATCATGTTAGTATATACTTGGATTACTTTTTTAGTTTGTAAAACCTATATAATGCTAGGTTTAAAGTTTGAGAATGTACAGATAACTGATTTACAGAGGCACATCAAGTGAAATCCGAAGATCAAATACTTGTAAAGAGCTTTTATCTACTTCCACAATTGAAGGGTTTCTTGTGCATGTCTCTTTTCTGAATCATGTCTTATTGCTGTCGTCTCATGCATCTGGAAGTGTAAGCCGGCTAGGCAAGGGATGAAGTAATATCTTGTTATTTCTGAGAAGAATTTAGGAGCCATAAAGTTTTGGTGACGGGGAGAAGTGGGAGTTTGTGTTTTCTGGATCACCTAAATCAGTGTATCTATTCAAAGTTCACTCAATTCCTCTTTACTTATTTCGAGTTCTTGTTTCACCATGAAACAAAAGTACCAACATATTTTAGTCCAAATTGTAAGATGCCTTTTGTTCCGGAGTAAAATTTCTCCGGCAGATTTCATGATGACAATCAGCAACAGCGAGGCTTTTCTCTAAAACTTCATCTGATAATATTGCGCGAAAAACAAAAGCAAAAAATGCATGCTACAAAAGAGAGAATCAGAAAACGAGGCTCAATTGAAGCACACCAAAATTCACTTTACATTCTCCATTAATTCACAAGAATGTTACAGATCCATCGATCAGATTGGTCCTAGTAAGAAATTTCATTTTCCGGGAACAAAGTTGGTGGCATATGCCCAAGCATTGTTGTTAACAGGGTCTGCAAGGTGGTCAGCAAGATTTTCCAAAGGACCCTTGCCGGTGACAATAGCCTGGACAAAGAATCCGAACATGGAGAACATGGCCAATCTACCATTCTTGATCTCCTTTACCTTGAGCTCAGCAAAGGCCTCAGGGTCGTCAGCAAGTCCTAATGGGTCAAAGCTGCCACCGGGGTAGATTGGGTCGGTCACGTCACCAAGTGGTCCGCCGGCGATACGGTAACCCTCGACGGCTCCCATCAAGACAACTTGGCAAGCCCAGATAGCCAAGATGCTTTGGGCGTGGATCAAGCTTGGGTTGCCCAAGTAGTTGAGTCCACCCTCTTGGAAGATTTGGGATCCAGCCTTGAACCACACAGCCTCACCGAACTTGACTCCGTTGCGAGACAAGAGCTCGGGGAAGACGCATCCAAGGGCTCCAAGCATGGCCCATCTGCAGTGGATCACCTCGAGCTCACGGTTCTTGGCAAAGGTCTCGGGATCAGCTGACAGCCCAGCAGTGTCCCAACCGTAGTCACCGGGGAATTCGCCAGTGAGGTAGCTTGGGGGATCACCGGAGAATGGGCCCAAGTACTTAACACGGTCTGGGCCGTACCATGGGCTGCCAGATGGGGCAGGCCTAGAAGTTCTCTTCATTGAGATCCTTCCGTTTCCCATCAGCTCAGGGGCTGAGGGGTTGAGTTTCACCGCCTTTCCGGCGAAGGACGGGGAGGAGAGAGCCATAGTTGAGGCAGCCATGATTCTGAGCAATGGAGGATCGCTTGATTCTTTTCAAAGTCAGTGAAGTTTTTTTGTTCTTGGTGATGGTGGACAAGTTGGCTTATTGGTAGTTATTTATAGGAACTAAGGCAACGGTCCTCCTTATCTTAGCATATCAGTATCTTCATTTTCATTGGCCTCCAAGATTCTTGGTTTTGTATCTCCATGACTTCACTTGTCCACGTAGCACTCAAGCATCCATCTACTCATATAGTTTTCTGGTAGACGTCAACCACTAGATTTGTTACACGTCTGCCACTCGGGATTGCATCAAGCTATTGCATGGAGACGCACAGATTTCAGATATTTTTTCACCTTCATCATGCAATGTAGGAGATTGCTTTTCTGATGGCAGTAGGGGTTGAACTAATTTAACTTATATGTGGTATGCCTTCATCATTTTGGCTTTGATAATTGATTATCAGATTCCGAACCTCACACTTGGAGGTGAAAATACTGAAAACTTGGATATTATGTGGCTATGTGTGCATCCACAAATGTGTTGCATGGCTCAAGTACAGACTCAGATTTTTTGCAATCACATAGCAGAAAAGTTAAGCTAAAGCATTTTAGTTTGGTCATAACAAAAGTTCTGAATTGAAGAGATTTTCCAAGTTCTGTGCTGATGGAATAAGTAAATTACATAAGCCGGGGGGAAACAAAACGCTTATTGCCCTTCCTTTTTATGATCGGTATACAGATAGTGTGTCTTTTAGGAAAAAAAGGAATTTTGAGGGGAAAAATAGCAAGAGAACCATAATTTTTTTTTTTTGTCAATGTGCAAAATGCTGAATTGATGTGGTATGCGACACTCCATTGTAGGAATTGGTGCGGGTCAAATATCTGTCATGTCCACCATTTTGCTGACCCGACCTGCACCTTACACGTCAGTCATTTTCTGACTCTTACCCCCCCGCATATCAACAGGTATCCGGCCCACTTATTATTTAATTTTTTTAAAAATAATTTATACTAATTTGATTTTATATTTTACACATTCATCTAAAATTTAATAAAATTTTTTTCTCAAAAAAAATCTTCCATCAAGAAACAAGCATGTAAAGAGAATATAAAATAAAGAAAAAAATTAAAAGAATTCAAAACCAATAAAATGTTGAAATAAGTAGCATATATTTTTAAATATATGTTCCACATTAATAAAACTATTTTCTATAAAACATAAGACTACGACCTCTATAAATGAATCTTGTAAATAAACTATAGTCTCTGATATTTGAATTGCAATTTGTTCATTGAAATTATTTATTTAGTTTTAAATTGTTATTTTATGGTATGTATATAAAAATAAAAAATAAAAAATATATATATGCGGAGCGAATCGGGTACCCATGAATTTTTAATTATGTGACCCTAACCCGCAACGCATCTTAGCAGGTACCCAATCCTCTTTTGACCTGATCAAATAATATAAATCGAATATCCTAATTTTTAGATAGGATCGGATTGAATATGACGGATTTTAGAGTTAGCGAATAATTTTGCTCACCCCTACTCCGCAGGTTGTCAAGTTCAGTTCAAGGTTTTTGAAGGAAAACCTCCCTGATCCAGTTGTCTCTTATAACATCTCATGCTGTACATTTGGGGGCAAAAACCAACAACTTTGCTATTACTTCAACAATTGGCTAGCATATGAGACTTCAGATATAGTGCAATATTTGAATTCACTTCAAAGATTGACAAGAGCTGAATTTGAGATACTTTGGCTATATTACCTTCTACAAAGTGCAAACAAAAATGTATATCTATACAACCACATGATCTTGTCTTTTTCCTTTTTTTTTTTTTTTCTTTTAATGGAGTTTTGGGCATTTTATGGTTGTATCACAATGTGGCGTGAAATTCTCGTGCTTGTCAAATTTCATATTAGTTGATACTTTGTATTCTAAGACAAAATCGCAATGCCATGATACAGTAGTCGTAAGGTACTTTTGACATTGCATGGATGAAATAATGTCAAATAAATTTCTGAAAATTAGAGGCATTAAAAATTTAGGTTTTTCTTTTGCAAAAAGAAAACATTGATGTATGAAATGTCCAGACTAAATTTTGACATCATTATTAGAGGCAAAAATGTGAAATGAGGGTATGCGTATTAATTCAAGTTTCCTTGTATAGCATTAAAAAGGTTTTGTAGCTTTTAGTGAATTACCAGGTATAAATTAATGTGCAATTAATTTCTATCAATCTGTCTTTTTTTCTGATTAATTTCCATGTGAATCAATCTCTCCAAAAGGCATGATAATAAACATGGAATCCACTTAAAGGTGCTCCTTAGCCATTGGACACATAATTCAAGTGATGATGGTCAATTCCTGAGATTTTCATAGAATTTGTGTGGTCATAAACTTACATTCTCAGCCAACCACACAACACAAGTGGTCCAAATGAAAACATGACCTGTCAAAACTGAAGAATTTGTCCCTTATTATTTTCTTTTTTTTTTTTCCTGTTTGTGTGTGTGTTGGAAGAAAGAGCCAAGTCATTCTTTTTCACAAGATTTTTTCTTGCAGTTCTTCATAATTGGATCCTATAAACTTGTAAAGCTATATCTAAGAAGATATTCCACTATCCTCGGGTACAACTGGCAGTCCTTGATTGGTTAGAAGGTTAAACATCTGCGTTTGGGTGAGATTTTTGGGACATGACACAGAAAAACTCAATGAGAAAGAAAATGGAAAATGAAGATCCAAAAGTAGTGGTAGTGGTTTAAGCCATTGCCAAATGGGCATTCAATATCAAGCCCTCAAAATGTCAGCAACCAATGAAAATGCAGATAATGATATTCAAAGATAAGGACCTGGGCCGACCCTTCTCATATTTATACGTTCTGTTGTGTATGGGCCATCAAACTCAAGCCACAAGCAACATTGTATAATTCCAACTGCCTTCAATAGTTCCATTCAGGTGCTAATCTCAATCATACAATGGCTGCCTCAACTATGGCTCTCTCCTCCCCGTCCTTCGCCGGAAAGGCAGTGAGACTCAACCCCTCCGCCCCTGAGCTGATGGGAAATGGAAGGATCTCAATGAAGAGAACTTCCAGGCCTTCCCCATCTGGCAGCCCATGGTACGGTCCAGACCGTGTTAAGTATTTGGGCCCATTCTCCGGTGAGCCCCCAAGCTACCTCACCGGCGAATTCCCTGGTGACTACGGTTGGGACACTGCTGGGCTGTCAGCTGATCCCGAGACCTTTGCCAAGAACCGTGAGCTCGAGGTGATCCACTGCAGATGGGCCATGCTTGGAGCCCTTGGATGCGTCTTCCCCGAGCTCTTGTCTCGAAATGGAGTCCAGTTCGGTGAGGCTGTGTGGTTCAAGGCTGGATCCCAAATCTTCCAGGAGGGTGGACTCAACTACCTGGGCAACCCAAACTTGATCCACGCCCAAAGCATCTTGGCTATCTGGGCTTGCCAAGTTGTCTTGATGGGAGCTGTTGAGGGTTACCGTATTGCTGGCGGACCACTCGGTGACGTGACCGACCCAATCTACCCCGGTGGCAGCTTTGACCCATTAGGCCTTGCTGACGACCCTGAAGCCTTTGCTGAGCTCAAGGTAAAGGAGATCAAGAATGGTAGATTGGCCATGTTCTCCATGTTCGGATTCTTTGTCCAGGCTATTGTCACCGGCAAGGGTCCTTTGGAAAATCTTGCTGACCACCTTGCAGACCCTGTTAACAACAATGCTTGGGCATATGCCACCAACTTTGTTCCCGGAAAATGAAATTTCTTACTAGGACCAGTCTGATCGATGGATCTGTAACATTCTTGTGAATTAATGGAGAATATAAAGTGAATTTTTGTGTGCTTCAATTGAGTCTCGTTTTCTGATTCTCTATTATGTAGCATGCACTTTTTTGCTTTTGTTTTTGGCACTATATTATCAGGTGGAGTTTTAGAGAAAAGCCTCGCTGTTGCAAATTGTCATCATGAAATCTGCCGGAGAAGTTTTACCCTGGAATAAGAGGCACCTTACAATTTGGATTATAATATGTCGGTACTTTTGTTTCATGGTGAAACAAGAACTCGAAATAAGTAAGAGGAATTGAGTGATCTTTGAATAAAAACACTGATTTAGGTGATCAAGAAAACAAAGACTTCCACTTCTCCCCGTCACCAAATCTTTATGGCTCCTAAATTCTTCTCAGAAATAACAAGAAATTACTTCGTTTCTTGCCTAGCCGGCTTACACTTCCAGATGTATGAGACGACAGCAATGAGACATGATTCAGAAAAGAGACATGCACAAGAAACCCTTCAATTGTGGGAGTAGATAAAAGCTCTTTACAAGTATTTGATCTTCAGATTTCACTTGATGTGCCTCTGTATCTGTACATTCTCAAACTTTAAACCTAGCAAAGGCAAGTAGTATAATAATTCTGATCTGAAGTCTATAATATCTAAGAGAAACTTTACCAAAAATAGATTGTTAAGACAAGCATGCCATAAAACTTAAATGTGAGAAAAAGGAGTTTTATTGTCTTCGAAAAAATCATCAAAGAAGGAGCCAGAAGAGAATAATCACACCGTCATGAAATTAAAATAAGTTGATCATCAGAATATTGAACCTAAATTTCAAGTATGGAACTCAAAAAGGCAGGTGGTGCTACTAAATCAAGGGAAATTAGTGCAATAAATCAAGTATCTTTTCACAAGTATCATGGTTTAAAAACAAAATTAGAACTAATTTTCTACCAGTAAATATCCAAATCAGACTCTTTCTTTGACATCATTTCACTTTGGTAGTTGTCATGTATTTTGTTTGAACTTGATTCTCAGTGTATCTTCTTCTTATCTTGGTAACTGATAGATGCTTCAATACAATTTGAAAAGGATTTTTTTTTTAATGTATGATGTGTGCATTTTGAGAGAGAGAGAGAGAGAGAGAGAGAGAGAGAGAGAGACAGATGGACAGACAGACAGACAGAGAGAATGTGTACATGAGTCGGAGGGAATCCGTAATTTTACAGATCGAGCAAAATGTGTGTAACATGTTTGGGTACTTGCAGTCTTTGTTAATGTTTGCGTGTGTGTGTATATATTTATGAGAGAGAGAGAGAGAGAGAGACATTTCCAAGGCTTCATCAGTAACTAAACCAGAAGCATTTCAGGGCATTTCAGGTTTAGCTTTTGCCTCAAGTGACTTTTATCTGCAGAGACTGAACCCTTTATCAAGTGGAGCTAGCTTTGAAAATAAAAATTCCATAACAAAAGAAGTGGAGCTAACTTAATGCATGCAATTGTGGGTAAATCTTGTTATCCAACATGCGAAGCAGAGAAACACTCGAAGCTTTTGATTTAGTGCTTAAAGAGGGAAATGAATAGACAGTTTATACATCTATGAATTAGGAATGACCTGCTCATCAGCCGTCAAAAATGTGAATCCATTTCTGAACTCTTCAGGAATTGTATCATCGTCAACATCAAAAATACTGTAAGAGCAATAAAAAACATAACTCAATTCTCCAAGTGTTATTTGACCAGTCAAATATTCACAGTTAAAATATCATGTAGTGATTACTCCACCTGTCATTTAGACCTCCATATATAAAACGAGCTAGAGACTCATCATGCTTCAATAACAATCTTGCATTTCATGACTCTGAAACTGGTTGGCTATGTCTTCAAATTCCCTCTGTATAAAAACGTTAGAGACAATAGTTTGAAAGCAAAGCATATGAAAACATAAACCTTCAACAGAGCTGTTGGTTTTTTGGGGCATAAACTAAGAAACAACACCTTAGTGTTGCAAAAAAAACTTATAAGAAACTTGTACTGAAGGTAGAAAATGAGCTCATGTTATTCATTCATTAACTCACTATTTATAGTGATTACATGAAAGAAACTAATAAAATATTCAACTAACAATTGTCTTAAAAATCTCAACAAAATATAATCTTCCTCTACTAGCAAATCTTCTCTAAAATATTTGTTAACAAACCAACATGATCTTTGGTTAACAAATATCCTTATTCTTCTAATAACTAAATTATTTTGATATCAAACATAATCTAACAAAATTTGTAGGAAAAGTTGGCACATCTCAACACTCCTCTTTGCCACTTTTGCTGCAGATTTTGAATTGTTTTCTCACTTCTTTGAATCTTGTTTTGGACAAGACTTTTGTAAGAAGTTCTGCAACTGATGATTAAACTTGCAATGAACTTCTTCTTTTAGATTTTTATGCAAGCTAAATATTAGTCTTGCAACAAACCACTTCTTTTGTCTTCTCATGTCATACTCCAAATAGAAGATGATCTTTTTTTATGTTTCCAAATAACCTTCTCATAGGTTCAAAGTAAAACACCTTTCGACAATATTTGAAATTACATAGAAATATGAAATTCTACATGGTTCTTCATTTTGTTATCACCATCAAAATCTGTAGACTCAAAAACAGCAATATTATAATCTTGATAAACATCAGGAATCAATTTGATATCTCCTGATTTATCAATGATCTCCTCCTGAATTTTTTCAGGATCTGAATTCTTGATTTCATCATCATGTTCCACTTTAGAATTGTCAAAATTTGACTAATTCATAATGAAACTTTTTCTTTTTATTTTAATTGAGAATAATTTATTCTCAGTCAAATCATTGGCCATTATCCTTGTGAAAACGGCATAAAAAACTGATATGTGAATGCTAGCCTTGAATCTCTATCTAACTGCAACTCCGTGGTCTCTAATTTGTATATCCATCAGCTCTTCAAATGCTGGCAAAACAAAATTCGTCTCCACCATATCCCGTAGATCATTGACTACCAAATAAGTCCAAAATTTTATGGCCCAAATTTGGTAAGTTTCACAACTAAAAGTTGAAATATTTGACAAAAAATTCATTCCTGTCATGACTTTGAACTTATAAAGGATCTTCACCAATGCACTCACTCTAAAAAAAAAAAAAAAAAAGACTCAGGCCCTTAAGATAGGCTCTTGATACCACTTTGTTGGTTTTTTGGGGCATAAACTAAGAAACAACACCTTAGTGTTGGAAAAAAAAACTTATAAGAAACTTGTATTAAAGGTGAAAATGAGTTTATGTTATTCATTCATTAACTCACTATTTATAGTGATTACATGAAAGAAACTAGCAAAATATCCAACTAACAATTATCCTAAAAATCTCAACAAAATATAATCTTCTTCTACTAGCAAATCTTAGCTAAAATATTTGTTAACAAACCAACTTAATCTTTGGTTAACAAATATCCTTATTCTTCTAATAACTAAATTATTTTGATATCAAACATAATCTAACAAAATTTGTAGGAAAAGTTGGCATATCTCAACAAGAGCTACTGAAGAAAGATAACCTAAACTCCGTTGCTTGTAATTTACTTCAGAAAATAAGATAAACAGGAGGATATTCCAAAATGTAAAAAAACCTGAAGATCCATTAAATATCTATAATGAGGTAACCTAGGAATTGATTGAATAAACTAGGGCATGACCTTGTGCACTAATTCTGGTGTTTGACAGTTATGAATATACACACACAGCCAAGAATGTGTGAGAGTTCCAAATGACACCTCCTTCCAATTAAATAGATTGACTAGGCATCTTATGAATCCAAAGATCCCTGAGGTCCTGTACTACATATTGTGTTGAAGACTTGAAGTACTACCAAAAATAAAATTGAACACTTCAACTCTAAGATAAACAATACTTGCGTTGTTAGGTGAGCAATTATGAGCCAAGCAATTAAGACTTCCAAATTGTGCTAGCCACTTAAAGAGTAGAACTAAAACCAGTACAAGGAAAATATGAAGGAAAAAAGGTGGTAGATGCGGCCAAGCTCTAATATCATTTGGGCCAACAATTTGTGGAGTAAGTTTGGCCTGGATGGAATATTCGAACAAGGAGATGTTCGAGGAACAATGAGATGTTCGAGGAACGTTAAAAGTAATTTCAAGGTTTTCGGGACTCTTTGGCGGTTTTGTGCTTAGAAAATCAAGGAGAAAGCGATTTGATGTGAGCTGCAATTAGGAAAAAAGAGGAGGTTGTTCTACTAACCACTTCTAGGATGAAATAGACACCATACATGGAATTAGAATTACGTCCAAGATTTCAAGACATGCATAATAACACTAGAAGCCCTTAATTGTTAATCAACAAGAGAAGAGTATAAACATGGGAGTTCAAATACCCCAGGCCTACATCCAAAATTGTTACTTGAAATGAAACTTAAAAAATAACCAAGAAAAAACCTGACTTACAAAAAAGTTAAGATCTAGAATACAATGCATTGATCTTCTGCACTGTAAGCCACTGCTATTTACTGTGGTCTATTTGGAAGATAAGAAAGAAGAATAAGGTATTAAACAATGCTCTTCTTCATTGATTAAATTTATCAGAGGGTCAGAAGCTAGTTCATTTTCCTTGGGGATGTCGATTCAGTGATTACTTTGCAAAAATTGTGGAAATGCTTCAATGGAGAAGATTGAATGAATAGATCGGTGAAGAGAATGCTACCGTACACCATGGTTCGCCGTCGCGGGTTGCGGTCATATCGCGGTTTCGGTTGTTTCACATCCGTTGCGGCATATTATTTTGAATATCGGGTGATATGCACATTATAGCACATAGAAATTTTCAAAAAATCTGAAAAAATTACTAAAATTAGAAAATACAAAAAAGACATAATTTGAAAAAATATCTGAGTCGACTCTAAGTTGACTCGAATATATCGGCTGATACCATGCATCACGAATTCGAATAGACTAATATCGGCCGAGTATCATATTCGCGATTTGGGGATCGGCATTATACCGGTCCCTTTGTTCCGGTTACGATTCAGCCGATTCGTATCGGAATCGATCGATATTGCTAACCATGCCGTACATTGTTAAGATACGAATCGGCCAATATTGCTAACCATGCCGCCGTACACTGTTAAATCATTGTTAACAAATTCATAAATCTCAGAAAATTTTATACAAAGAATTAGACTCTAAAGTGTACTTGCATGGTGGATCAAATGATATCCTTACCTCCGAGAAGAAAATCATCTATTATGGATGCATGATACCAAGTCAACATATTTTTAAGAGATTCGAGATACATCATTGGTAGGTTGTGCATCAATTTTTTGATAGAGTAACTACATACGCAATTTTCAAGGATAGCCTAACAATTTCCAACAAATTGTAAGCTGGAAGAGAATCTACCAGCTGACATTCTACCAATGCAAGCTTTCAGAATAAACTAGATCAGATCTATGAACAAGCAAATGAGTTGCCAATTTTTGTTAGGAAAGAAGTCAACATAAAAAGGTTTAGGAAATAACCGCATACAGTCTTTGTAGATTTTCAATCTGTTATTTTAGTTGGGGATCAACTTTAAGTCCCTCCTGCATTCATCTTATCTGTAGGATATCATTCCATTTGAAGCACTTTAACAAACCAGTAGTATCCATGACAAAAATCTTAATGGTTCAAGGTGGATTTTAATACAATAAGAAAAGAGACGAATTATTTATGACATCTAATTTATCTTTTGTGTTAGTGAAACTAAAAGACAGAAAAATTCTAATCTGCAGATAAAGTAATCCCTCCATTCCATGTTATGTGTCAGAGTAACTATTTTCTAATCAGCCCATATCATTTGTGATTTGAAAAGTAAAAAAATGTAAAGTAATTTTCTATTTTACCCCTCATATAAAATTTACAATGAAAGATTCTAGAAGCAATAATTAACCGCTAAAATTAAGACTAAATGTTTAGTTAAAAGGAAAATATAAAACCTTGATTTGTCAACTGATGTGACTTGATTTGTAAATTAATGTTTGCTTAAATCTTAGAAGATGTTCCTCTATCCCCTGGTACAAATGGCAGTCCTTGGTTGGTTAGAAGATTAAACATCTGCATTGGGTGAGATTTTTGGGACATGACACGGAAAAACTCAATGAGAAAGAAAATGGAAAATGAAGATCCAAATGTTGTGGTTGTGGTTTAGCCATTGCTAAATGGGCATTCAATATCAAGCCCTCAAAATGTCAGCAACCAATGAAAATACAGATAATGATATTCAAAGATAAGGACCTGGGCCGACCCTTCTCGTATTTATACGTTCCATTGTGCATGGGCCATCAAACTCAAGCCACAAGCAACATTGTGTAATTCCTACTGCCTTCAATAGTTCCATTCAGGTGCTAATCTCAATCATACAATGGCTGCCTCAACTATGGCTCTCTCCTCCCCGTCCTTCGCCGGAAAGGCAGTGAAACTCAACCCCTCCGCCCCTGAGCTGATGGGAAATGGAAGGATCTCAATGAAGAGAACTTCCAGGCCTGCCCCATCTGGCAGCCCGTGGTACGGCCGAGACCGTGTTCAGTACTTGGGCCCATTCTCCGGTGAGCCCCCAAGCTACCTCACCGGCGAATTCCCCGGAGACTATGGTTGGGACACTGCTGGGCTGTCAGCTGATCCCGAGACCTTTGCCAAGAACCGTGAGCTCGAGGTGATCCACTGCAGATGGGCCATGCTTGGAGCCCTTGGATGCGTCTTCCCCGAGCTCTTGTCTCGAAATGGAGTCCAGTTCGGTGAGGCTGTGTGGTTCAAGGCTGGATCCCAAATCTTCCAGGAGGGTGGACTCAACTACCTGGGCAACCCAAACTTGATCCACGCCCAAAGCATCTTGGCTATCTGGGCTTGCCAAGTTGTCTTGATGGGAGCTGTTGAGGGTTACCGTGTTGCCGGTGGACCACTCGGTGAGGTGACTGACCCAATTTACCCAGGTGGCAGTTTTGACCCATTAGGCCTTGCTGACGATCCAGAGGCATTTGCTGAGCTAAAGGTGAAGGAGATCAAGAATGGTAGGTTGGCCATGTTCTCAATGTTCGGCTTCTTTGTCCAGGCCATAGTCACTGGAAAGGGTCCATTGGAGAATCTTGCTGACCACCTTGCGGATCCAGTTAACAACAACGCTTGGGCTTATGCAACAAACTTTGTCCCTGGAAAATGAGTTTGAGCGGTGATTGTAATTTGTGAATCCAAAAGTGTGTATAGTGAGCCCCTAAAGTGATCTGTTTGTGAGCATCGAGCTCGGCTCGCGGCTGAATATTAGCATGTTATATTGGTGGAAATTGGTCCAAGCTAATGCCAAACGAGTTTTTTTTTTTTTTTTTGGTGCAGTATTTTGTTGATTTTCTTTGCAATCTTTTCCACCCCCTAAAAGTTGCCGGAAAAAAGATAAAAGCATAGAATTCAAAGTGGTGGAACGTAAAGGCAAAAAACACAATTAAAGTTAAAAAATATAAAAGCTTGAGCTTGTCAAGTCAAATTGTTTATAGAAACTTATTTCAATTACAGTTTACTCCATCAAGAATCTACCATAAATTTTGTTTCGTACGGTGCATACTTAATTGCGAAATTTTATTACTTTTTATTTACTGCATGTGCTTAGAACGAGTGTAGGGTTGACTTGAGCATCGATGCCTGTTTTAGCAATTATATACTAATTTTTTTTTTTATCAAACTTTCTACTTCTTCCATCCCATTTTGATAGGCTTGTTTTCTTTTTTCATCCATCCCAAATTATAGTTCACTTTCCAATAAAAGAATATAATTAACTTTTTATACTTTCTAAAATATCCTTATTTAATGTATTTTGTTATCATTGAATATAACCTACTTTATTTAATACAGTTAATTTTTTTGATCAATAATTGCTTTGATTCATACCTTGAATGGTATAATTTTTTAGTATTGTTGTTGTAATTAATGTAAATGTATGATGATTAGTTATACTCCTAACATTTATTGTAATTTTTGAAAACAGTACACTAGATTTAATCTCTTAACAAAGTTGACTAATACTTCTTAAACTGTGTGAGAAGGAACAAAATCAAAACTATCAAAGTGGGATGGAGAGCAGTATTATTTAGAAAACTCATTAGTTCACAATGATAAAATTGACATCCTGACAAAAATAAAATAAAATAATTGAAAGGGTTATTATTATTTTACCCCCTTAACGTTCAGTGTCACTGTCAATTTCTCCCTTAACATTACCTTTTAGTCACTTTACCCCCTAAACTAACGGTCAAATTTAACAGAGTTTGTTAATTAAAGTGAAAAAACATGTTTATCTCTTAAAAATTATTATCGTTTTACCCCCATAAACTATAGACTCATTATCAATTTACCTCCTAGAGTTTTTTATAAGCAATTTATCCCACCATTAAACAAACTTAGCAAGTTAAAGAACTTTAGAAGAAAGTACCCTCCTCTTTTTATAATAAATATAGTAAAAAATTTAGAGTGGCTCTTCTCCTTTTTAGTATCAAGAAAAAAGTCAAAGTGTTAATTTTTTTCTTCTTGGCAATCTTGTTAATATTGAAAAAAATAGAAAGATACGGAGGAGGAGGAGGAGGGTGGGAGAGAGAGAGAGCTCAATTCTTTTTTTTAATACAAATAAGAAAGAGTTAAATACTTTGTCCGTTTGAATTAGCTATTTTTTGGGGTGTTTTTGAAAAATTTTACTGTAACAGAGTTTTTATAGTATATTTTGGGATATTTTTAAAAAATATTTTGGGATATTTAAGAGTAGAAGAGTTTTTAGAATATATTTTGGGATATTTTTTAAACATTAAAAAAATTTAGACTACTTTTACATTTTAGAGTACTTTTTAAAAATTTTAATATAATATTTGAAAAACTAATTTTTCAAAAACTCTTGAATCCAAACAAAGCTTTATTTTAAAATCATTTCACTTTTCTATTTACCATCAAATTCCAATTCTAATCCTGACAGTCTTAAAGTAATACGATAATGTTAGACTCTTCTTTATTTCTTTCTTACAAAATCTAATTTCCGCCTCCTTCTTTCCTATCTCCTTTTCTTTTCCTAGTATTAATAAGTGTGAAAAAAGAAATTTGAAAAAGCCCATTTATTTTTATGTTTTTGGATCTCTTAAAGTGAAAAAAAGGAAGAATAGCCATTCCAATTTTTTTATTTTTAATTATATATAAAAAGGGTAAATATATTTAAAATTTTTTTACCATACTAGTTAAATTAACAATGAGATAAAATGCATAGAAAATAATGTTAGGAATTAAAGCGATTGTATGACCATAATTTTAAGGAATAAAGTGATAATAGCAATGTGATAATGCTATAGAATAAAAGGGGTATTTTGTCCAAAATTTCTTAACATGTTGAGTTGAATTCCTTATGGGGTTGAAGTGATTAAATATAACATTAGGAGATAAACTAATAATAGTGATATAATTTAAGGGGTCAAGTGATAATAACCCTAATTGAAATGGAAACTAACAATACAAAATACTCCTTGGGTAACAATACAAAAGACTTCTTCGGTTTTGAATTTTCTCAATTGTCTTTGCCAATGAAACTACTATAATTGATTGATTTTTCATTTCTTTTGGTCAAAATAATGATTGTAATTTTCTAATATATGTTATACATATTTTTTGCTAGCATACCAACTATACCTTGTTTGATAACCCAATTCAATATTTAAATTTATGGATTCAAATCTTAACATATTCAGACTGTTTGATAACAAAAAATTGAACATCTGAATTAATTAAGTGGCACTGAATTTTCTAAACAAAACTTACTTTTAAAATTAAGGGATAAGCTGTTCACTTATCACTGAATGTGATATGTGTTGGGCTTGGGTTTTATCCGATCAAACGGTATGCATTCAAATATATTAGATTTAACACTTAACAATTCAATAATCTAATGGATTTAGACTTCAAATTTTAAATTTTAGATTTCAGTTTTATCAAACACACCCTTAGTTACAATGATGTGTCTCTACTTTCAGAAGTTTACAATCTATGTTTAATACTTTTACTAACTAGTCATTCCTGAAATAGTTTACAGTTAATGATAGGTTAATGGCAAAACGTGAAATACAGGAACAATAATTCATTTGCACAAAGTATAATATCAACCAACCAAATGCATACCATTTAACAAATAACAAAAGAATTCATTAAAATCGTGGGATAAGAAACTTAGCTTGATACGTCAATAATGAAAGAAAACATGACGCAACGGATCTTTGTCCTGCTTCTGGTCCTTCTATCTATTCTACTTTTTATTATATTATTATTTCTCCTTTCTAAATACTATATTTTATTTTTTTTTATTTTCTTACTATCAAATAATTACTAACATAGTAAAAATAAATACAATAGTCTCAAAAAATAATATATGATAGAAAATAAAAAATAGAGCACAATAATCATAAATCTCATTTTTGGTGTATTTTGGGGCTCTTTGGAAATGCAATACTTTTACTAGAGGAGTACTTTAGGCATAAAGGCATAATTCTAAAGTTTTTGGTAAGTATCATTTGTTAAATTTATTAGAGACCTTTTGCCCATTAAAGCAACTTCAGCAGAAGTTTAAAATTTTTGTTTTTAGAATAAATTTATGTTAATAAAAAATAAGAAATTAAGATTAAACATTTTATCATAAATTTTGAAGTAGATTAAGAGATCAATATGTTTTATAAATTCAAAATTATATATAATCAATTAGAAAAAAAAACACCACTTATGCAAGTATACACCCCAAACAAAATGATTAAATGTTTTAATTAAGTACTTTGACTAAAGCTCTACTCGTTGAGCTGCCTTTGGATAAATTGCCACATTCCAAAACGGGCACTCAGTGGCTTATTAAAAAATTTTCATGCAATAGAAATTTTGGTAAAAGTAGTTATTAAGCGTTTAATCATATTGTTGGATGTTTATGGGTATAAGTGCTTGTTGTGTTGGATAACATGTAATTTTACAATTTTTAAAATTTAATGATCTCTTTATTCAATTCAAAACATGATAAAATATAAAATTTTAATCATTTTTTGAAATATAAAATTTATTCTAAAAGCACCAAAATTTTAGCTTTTGCTAGAATTGCTTTTGAGACCATAACCGCTAGTCCTAAGTCTACTAAATACCTAAAAAGCACTTTTATCACAAAAAGTACCCTTTTTTAACAACAGCATAACATTCCCAAACACACTTTTAAGTGCTTAAAACATGAGTACTTTCTTTTTTTTTCAACTTTCTAGATAATTGGAAACCCCAACAAAGTTAGATTAACACTCGAAGGTAATCGAGTGTCAAGGTGCTAAGTACAATCTAAGGTGGAGCCCACAAACCAACACCATCCAACCAATTGGTAACTAGAAATGCGGCTGAGGACTTTAAACCCAGGGTAACTACCTCACAATCTTTCGATGTGGGATGAAGTCCCCCCCCCCCCCCCCCCCCGAGCACACGTCTCACCAAATTTATTGATTTTTTTCAACTGTCAAGATAATTGGAAACCCCCAACAAAGTTAGATTAACACTCGAAGGTAATCGACGTCAAGGTGCTAAGCACAATCTAAGGTGGAGCTCACAAACCAACACCATCCAACCAATTGGTAACTGCAAGTGCGGCTGAGAACTTTAAACTCAGGTAACTACCCCACAATCTTTTGATGTGGGATGGGCATGAGTACTTTCTAAGCAATATGGATTATAATGCACACATGTTGAAGATGTAAGCCACTTGTGTAAACTTTTCCATGGTATATATAATATAACCTCTTTGTGCCCAAGGTCATTAACAACTTTGTGTTTGGACAACAGATTATTTGGAATAATTTTTTAAAAAAAATACTAAAACACTTTTTGGGATGTAAGATAAAAAGATGGTTAAAAGAATAAAAATGTTATTAAATAATATGTTTATGATGCAATAAAAGAATGTTTTACAAACACGAAGCTATCCATAATACAAATAAGCCAAAAAATAGTCTACCAAAAAACTAATCTTAGGAAAAATTGTAGAACCAAAAAATTCACCGAAAATATATAGGAGATATATTTGATAAAATTAATGTATCTGGGGAAGCAATTCACACACCATAAGAATATGTATGAGAGAGAAGAGGAATAATACCAATAATAATTTATTAATCACGTACCATAATAACAAGGCTCTCAATCTTTCATTCTTCTCAACTAAAAACAATAATATGACTCCCTATTTATAGACTAAATAACTTGAGAAACAAGTCTTACAATCATAAAAAATTTCCTAACAAGATACCGATTTTTAAACAATAAAACTACCATAACTTTGACTCAAATAGAATTTCTAAAACCCTAATATGACGAAAACACTACTAAATAATAATATGAAAATTTTTAATTTTGAGCCTTAATTTAATATGTCAACATTAACCGGACCGGACCGGACCGGACCCGCTGGTTCGACCGGTTGGACCGCGAACCGGCCATGTCACCGGTCCGGTCTAATGCTAAAGCCGGAAGTTCATGGAGAATCGTTGAAACCCGGATGAACCGAATGAACCGTGTGAACCGTTAAGAATCGTGAACCGGCGATTTTTTAAATTCTTCAACAAAATATCAAGAATGGTGTAGTTATGATTCGAACCTGGGTCTCCAAGTTTGCATATAACAATCTTACCGCTAGACTGTAGTTAAATTTGTTGAGAATTCTACTTGACTAAAAACTATATTAAAACATCAAGTTCTTCTCTTATTTTTTTTTTCAATTTTTTCTTCTTAACCATTTTTAACCCAAATATGCACAACAAGATTTTCTCAAGTTTTCACCATTATTATCAGGTTATTATCTTTAGCAGATTGTAAACAAGTTGAAAATTTCAACTTTTCTTGTTTTCCAACATCTTAGTAAGTTTAATTTTTTTCTTTTCAAGGTTTTTTTTTCTATATTATTATCTTTAGTTGATTTTTTTGCATTTTCTTCTTTTTCCCCTCAATTTTCATATGTTTCCCTCATTTTTGTTTTATTTTTATTTGATTAATTAAGGATGAAATTTTTGCAAAAGTAGTGCATATCCGTGTAGGAATTGGGTAGGAAATATAAATAATAACATTGGGCTGGTCAAAAATATGGTAGTTGGCACATAATCGAAGCTATTGATAATTGAATTTAAAATAATTAATGGTATAGGATCATTGAATTTAATATAACATGTTAATTAGTAATGTTTAGTAGCAATTAATTTTTTGTGTGTTTAACTGTATATTTGTTTTTAAAAAATTTTTACTTTTTTTTTTAGTTTGAGCAATTAGATTTATATTTTTATAATCAAATTTTAACTTTTTCAGCTTAAGTTGATGAAATTGTGAAGGTGGTGTGGTTGCTTATCATGCCACTGATAAAAGTTTGCTATTCAAATGGTTTGTCTTAACTTGAACTCTTTTATGGATTTTTTTAAGGGTTGTAAAAGAATTTCAATATTTAATTTATTTATTTTTTTATTATGAATTTATGAAAACTTGTGGTGAATTATGATATTTTAATTATATTTACCATTCCATGTTTTATGTATAACTTTTAGGAAATTTATTATTATCATAACTTAAATTAAGTTATGTTAGTAAAGTTCCAGTGTAGAATGAAACCTGCTTAGTACTTAACACTAAAACAAAAAAAAAACAAAAAAAAAAACAATGAACCTGTGAACCGGCTGGTCGGACCGCGAACCGGCCACCTCTTCGGTTCATTGACCGGTTCGAGTTTAAAAACATTGTTTATTTTTCACTAACGAAAATAATTCACGCTTCTGAATAGACTGTGTTCGTCGCCCAATTTGATGTCAACTTATTGACAATCACTTTGTGATTTTTATAATAACAATTCAACTAATAGGATTCTTCTCCGATCTTTGTCTTCACAACCACAATCAATTTGACAATTCTTCTAAACCAATCTTACAGTCCAATTTGTGATCTAATTCAATCATTTAATTTCTTTGCAATAATTTTTATATTCTAACTCTAACAACGAAAAATATCCACAATTAACCCTTGTAATCGGGTCAATTCTTCAATGTGTTCAGGAACTCCATGATCAATTTCTTGAACCCAGGGCTCTAATACCAGATGTAGAACCAAAAAATTCACCGAAAATATATAGGAGATATATTTGATAAAATTAATGTATCCGGGGAAGCAATTCACACACATAAGAATATGTGTGGGAGAAGAGGAATAATATCAATAATAATTTATTAATCACACACCATAATAACAAGTCTCTCAATCTTTCACTCTTTTCAACTAAACACAATAATATGATTCCTTGTTTGTAAACTAGATGACTTGATAAACCATTCTCACAACCACAAGAAATTTCCTAATAAGATACTAATTTTTAAACAATAAAATTACCATACCTTGATTCCAATAGAATTACTAAAACCCTAAAAAGACAAAAACACTACTAAATAATAATATGAAAATTTTTAATTTTGGACCTTAATTTAATATGTCAACAAAAATGGAAAAAAAAAAAGATCTAGTTTAGTATTATTACCTGAATCTGAAATAGAAGAGTGGAAGGAACCAAGCAAAATAAATTTGTTTGCAAAAAAATCACTGGATGTGAAAAAGTACTCTTTCGGTTTGCCTTTAACACGGACGACCGGGAAACAGTAAAAAGATTTCCATCTCCATTGTGGGTGGAAGTCAAATTGTCCTTCTCCACTTAGAAACACCGCCTCCATATTCTTGGATTGTTTTGCTGACGTACTATACCACCCGTCTAACGATCACCAAGGTTTCAATAGAGGATGGACGGATAGGATTTGTTTTTCTATTGTAGCAGAAAACCACTCTATTTCTCTGCCTGTATAGGTACTCCTTTTTACCGTTGACAAAGTTAAACTCATTTTCTGAAAATGGGAACGGCACTTTAGAATAATTGAATTTAGAAACTACCAATTTAGAAACTCTTCAATTTGGTATATGCCAAATAGGAAATATTCAGATTCCTAACTATAAACACAGATCCGCTGCAGTTCTCCTTTCTACATGTAAATCAACCAACCTCTTCCTCTGATCCCACAAGAAAATCGATTAATTGTGTGTGTCCAAGCCAAAACCTTTGGCTCAAGAAATTGTTCGGCGATGGAGGAGAATGCCGTAATACTGAATAAAAGGAACTTCGGTGGTCGAAGAAAGATTGAAATCAAGAAAATTGAGAAGAAGAAGAACTTGCTAGTCTCGTTTTCTAAACGTCGTGCAGGCTTGTTCAAGAAAGCTGAGGAATACAGCAAAAAATCTGGGGCTCAAGTTGCTATCCTTGTCCAATCTCCAGGTGGTAGATTCTTTACCTTTTGTGGTCCTGACTCTGCTTTGGTAGACTCCATTCTTAACCAGTATCTTGCTGGCATGATGCCTTCATCTTCAAGTTCTTCTTCTGCTAAGAATGGTACTGTTGTTGATGATCAGGGAAAGAGTAATCCTGTGGAGATTGAAGAAAATACTATGGAAGAAGAGGTTATAGAGCAGGGATTGATGGAAACTAACCAGGTCAGTGATGGAAAAGAATCTTTGTTGAAACAGCTGTTGGATAATGATGATCTTCAATGCTTTGACGAACTCGAAAACTATATGGTCACCATGAAAGGCCTGGAGAGTGAGGAATTGTCTCAAGAAGATGATGGAACGAATAGGGCTGCTGATGATACTATTAATGGTGATCCTGATTCATCAAGTTTATTGAATCCCAATGTTAATCTTGATTATTTTGGTGGGTTTCCAGTGAATAATGATCAGATGATCGGGGGTGCTGATACTGCCGTCAATGATGCTAATCCTGTTTATTTTAGTGGGCTTCCAGTGACTAATGATTTTTTTCAAGAATATAATGAGATGACCAGGGCTGCTGCAGATGCTGCTTCATCAAGTTTGTTGATTCCAAAAGTTAATCTTGATTATTTCAGTGGTCTTCCAAAGAACAATGATTTCTTTCAAGATGATGAGATGGCCAGGCCTGCTGATACCATTAATGGTGATGCTGATCCATCAAGTTTAGCGATTCCCAACGTTAATCTTGATTATTTTGGTGGGCTTCCAATGAATAATGATTTCTTTCAAGATGATGAGATGAACAGGGCTGCTGATGCTGTTAATGGCGATGTTGATTCATCAAGTTTATTGATTCCTAGTGTTAATCTTGATTGTCTTGGTGGGCTTCCACTTGATTTTGATTTTGATGAACCGAGTCCTCAGTACAATGATTGGGAGTAGTAGCACTTATTCAAGATATAGAGATATGGTTAATTAATTATGTTAACCAGATAGGTTTTATCAATTTTCCCTTTTGCGTTATTGTTTTGAAAGGCGAAATCTTATTGGAATTGGTATGTGTTATTAATGGTTTACTCTTTGAATTATTTTATGAGAAAATTGTTGAGATTTCATAAATTGTTTTTTGTGGTTGCTCTGGTTTTCCTTTTTCTTCATGTTCATAATCAGTTTCGTTATGTTTTACACCCCACAGGACTTGTGGAATTTCTAGGGGAAAAAGCGGGTAAAAATGGTTACCCAATTGGTCTTTTAAATTCTATAACGCTTTCTAACTGGAGAACCAGCAGCAGTAGGTAAAATGGTTGCAAAATTGGGTTTAGAAAAATTGCCAATTCAAACACTATGGGATCTCTTTGTTTGTTTTGGTGTTTTCTTTTGGATCTTTTGAAATTATGAGAGCAGAGTCCTTGTTTTTGGGGAGTGGAAACAAAACCCAAAATTAGAAAAATGAAAAATGAAAAAAAAATAAAAAAAATAGAAAAAAAAGGAAAATGGAATATATGGGTATGGTATAATTAATTTTGGCACCACGTTGTGCTTTCATCTCTGATAGAAAGGCCTAGTCAAGTTTAACAAAAAAGAATGAAAGAATGTAGGAAAGCTTGACCAGTTAAGAATGTATCTAGCAATATGCACCTTGTTTTTAATCTAATTAACAATCCACATTTGAAATTAACACGAAAGAGGAGTATAATTTTCTTTTATCAAAATTTATGATTGTTTGTCATGATTTTGCACGGTAATGAAAACCGATTGCTTGTCATTATTTTGTATGGTAATGAAAAGCAACTTGTAAAGGTGGGGAAAAAAAAAGAAAGATTAGGTAGGATTTAATTGTGTTAATTAGTGTCAATTGCACACCCGTTAAGAAAACAAATCCTTTGTGCTTGTCTACAAAAATCTAGTTGTTTTTTAAAATCCTTTTCAGGAAGGGAGGGATGAGATTTAAGAAGAGTGGAGGTGGAAGGAGAAATTGAACTATGAACTCGACACTTATATGCAAAAGTTTTTTTTTTCTTTAACTCGCGTTTGTCGGGCACCCTATAAGATCTAAATTATACTCCTTTTGTCCTTATATTAAAGTCAATTTTTAGAAATTCAAGTTTTTATGAAGACATAATAATCATTATGTTTAGATGAGGTGACACTGGAGAAATTACATATGTACTCTTTGAATTCAAAATATTCATTTGCTAAATGTGCATTGGGATTTTAAAAAGTTACTTTTTTAAATGATAAGATTGGAAAGCATGTGTTGGACTTAAAATGGTGAATCTTATTATGGAACACCAATAAAATAAAAAACATGATGTTGAAAATGGGACCGAGGGAATACATAACTTCTCATATATTTATTCATTGCCCCTTTTACATTCAGAAACTTTCTTGATTGCACATAATTCTTGCAAATAACTAACACCTAAAGCTCCTTGTTTTAAAAAAATAAAGGGTTAATTACATTTTGCTCCTCTCAAGTTTGTCCATATTACCAAAGAAACATGAGGGGAGGTAAATGTAATTAACCCAAAAAAATTTACCCTCCCACCCCGCCCCCCACCTAATGTTCCTTTTGAGTGGGCACTTATTGGACAAATCTAGATACAAATACTTTTGAAGATCAGTCTCCTTTAGAGTTCCAATACTAAGACAATTTCTTTCCATTGTGTTTTTGTGTTAATAATCAGTAAATAGTGGACTTACTAGCTAAACACAATTTTCATTGTGGTCCTATTATAAAAGGATATTTATGCGCTCAAGTCAGTGACTAAGGACGGGAACGGCATCGTACACCATTTTAATGAATTTAGGAACTGCAGGTTAAAGAAGGAAAAAAGGGGGTTAAATAAGGGTTTTTGTTTTAAATTGTTTTCTCTAGGAATTGATACACGAGAGTTTTAGGACTCAATCAAATTCAGGCCTAATATAATTGGGACTCAATTGAATTGAGGACCTAATATTGTTGGGCCTCTTATAACTGGACAACGGGCGCCTAAAATATGTTATTAGCATTGAGTTAATTGCTGTTATTGAAGTAAACTTAGGGATAATTGCAATTCATGAATGTAAAATTAGCAATTAAAGAGATGAAATAGACAATTAAACGCTAGGAACCTCATAACATAGTACTAATCTACACACACATATGAAAGAAATAAATTTAAGGAAAAATAATTTAAAATGTCTTTCACATTTCGTCAAATGTATTTTTTGATTATTTATTTTTAAAATAGTAACTTTATGTCCCTTACAAAACCAAGTCATTAAAATTTGGTTCCATCCTAAGTTTTCGACCATTTTTTACCCCGAATCTATCATATGACCCATACATAATCATTTTTTTTGGGCGAAAAAAGGATAGCTCTCATTTGTAGCTAAATAAATGATCCAACCCAAATTCCTTTTTTTATCCCTAAAGAAATTGAATCTAATCCAAATCATTTTCATTTTCTCCCTTAAAAAGTGAGATTTGCTCTAATCTATTTTCATTTTTGCTAATAAAAATGTGGAATCTAACTTTTTTGTACATAAAATATGACTGCATGAGGATCACATGATGATTTTAGGCTAAAAAGTAGTTAGAAATTTAGATTTCGATCAAAATTTGCTAATTTGAATTTGTAAAGAACGTAAAGTTAATATTTTAAAAATGAAAAATGAAAAATTTTATATAACAAAATGTGATGGACGTTTTGGATGATTTTTCATAAATTTAATTAACTATCTTCTCTCCTAGGTTTTACCCATATTAGTATACAAGTCTTGTCTAATTAACTTTTCTTTAATTGTTGTCTCTTTTAAAAACTTATATCCTTCTAAATAAAATTGAATTATTTTTTCTTATGATTTCTCTCTTTTCTACCAATTTTTATCTTTTTAAACAAATTTGTATAATTTTTTTTATCAATATGGATTAACTTTATTTTGTGTAGTTTTAATTGCTACATTAGTAGATTGATTAGTACTGTTGGAAATGGAATATTTGTTCATGAGAAAACGAATTATTGCATCTTTTTTATTTAATTGAGTAAGAAGACATAGTTCTAGATTTCTGGTCATTGTGATAATTTTAATTATCGTAAAAGTATCTTTCTTTCTTTTTTTTTTTTTCGTTTTTGGTATGCATTGTAGTACATGAATCAATACTTTAGTAAGAGCATGTCTAGAAGTTTTCAAAAAATAGGTATGATAGTTAAACAGTTAGAATACATTGAATATATAAGAACATTTTTTAAACTTTAATTATTGATATTTGCACAAGTTCACAACTAGTTTAATATAAGAAAATAAAAGTACTTGCCTTTTCCTATATCTGGCAATAGCTAAAGAGGCTGCATATTTCTTTTTCTTAGTTTGGCAAGATTCAAAGATTTAGAAACTCATTTATTACCATTTCTATAATTTAATATAATCAATAAAAAATACCAAAATCTACCCGTCCATGATTTTGTGCCCATGTATAAAACTATAAATATCCACCGATCTAACCAATTTCTTTCTATTGTCTACGAGAAAACTCGTTTTATAAAAATAGTAATTATTATTGTGCATATTCATACGGTAAGTAAGGTGTGATTGGCCGTACTTGTTAGAAAAGTTGTTTATACTTGCCAAGATACGAAAATCTAGTTCTTAACAGTTTTTTTTTTTCCTTAAGAGTTGTTTGTTGAGCATTCGGTAATAGATGTAAATTACCCATAATTTCCCATATGTGTATATAGACTTTTATGTATTTCCCTTCCTATATGTAGACACTTACTTGATTGTACGTACTATTTGCAAATAACTAGCACCTAAAGCTCATTTTGAGTGGGCACTTATTTGACAAACCTAGATATAAATATTCGTGAAGACCAGTCTTCTTTCAGAGTTCTAATACTAAAAAATTTCGTTCCGTTGAATTTTTATGGTATAATCAGTAAATGCTGAACTTAGTATTAATTAAACAATTTTCATTGTGGTCCTAATATGAAAGAGTAATATTTCAAGCACTCAAGTTAGTGACTAAGAACAGGAAAGCTACGGTGTACACCATTTAATAAATTTAGGAACTAAAGATGCAATAGGGTTATTTATTTCTTTATTTTCTCGGAATTGATACATGAGACATTTGGGACTGAATTGAATTCAGGACTAATATTATTGGGACTCAATTGAATTCAGGACCTAACATTGTTGGGCCTCAATCGTTGTGCTTTTTTTAACTAGACTAGAGGTGTCAAAATGGGTGACTTGAGCGGGTTTGCGTTGGGTAAAATGGATAATGGGTATAAGTGAGTCAACTTATTTATACCCATTTAATTAAATGGGTATAAATGGGTAAGTCAAAAAATGAATTGGGTAACCCAATTACCCATTTATAACCCATTTATTTTAACTTTTTATAAACTCATTTAAATTCATTTTTGCAAATTAAGTTATCAATTTATACCACTCTTTGTACCCATCATTAGTTTTAAATATTTACTTATAATGTTCAATAAACTTAATTACCAATTTTTTTTCATTTATACTCTATGTCACAAAATTACCTATTATTTAATAATTGAATAATAAGAATATAAAAATTTGAACTAAGTTCTATAAAAATTAATATAAAAACTTAATCCAACAATTTTGAACCCCTAACATTTTTTCATATATAAATTTAAAATTTCATTTTATAAAGATAAGAAAATAGGCTAAAATTTATCATAAATTGGTAATGCTAAAAAATGAGCAAGTTAACAAATTAAGAGAAAATAAAATAATAAGATAAAACCAACAAATAATAATAATGAAACAAAAGTAGTTAACATCATGACAAAATGAAAAATTTGAAAAAAAAAAGGTAGGGGAAAAGAAGAGACTTGGGGGGAAGAGAATTCTAAATGGGTTAATTGAGTTTGATGGGTTACCCAATAATACCCACTTAATAAATGGGTATTATTGGGTAACCCATTTATACCCATATACAAAAATTTAAGATACCCATACCCATCTATTCATGGGCGGATATGGGTAAATTTAGTTAAGTGGGTTGATTTGCCACCTCTAAACTAGACTAAAGTGCACCAAAAAAAAAAAAAAGTTGAGATCTGTCTGACAAG